ACGCCAAGGGTCCACGCGATCACCTCCGGTGAGCGTTGAGAAAGAAAAAAGATGATGACGACGATGATGACGACGACGACGACGATGACGACGATGATGACGACCACGACGACATCAAAATAAAAATAGATTTTAATACAAACCACTGCAGGCATCGGCAGGCTATAGCCACTGTTCTTTTTCTAAGAGAAGGAAGAGTAACTATGAAGCCATTTGGGGACGTGTGTTGTTGCGGGGCGGGATTATATACAGCAAGACTCCCAACCAGGAAGATTGAGCAAGAAATCTTTGATCCTTTGGAAAGACTCCTCCGTTCCCCAAATATCCCCTGCATTCTCCCCATCTCGAACATTTCGCCAAAAGCGAGACTTGCGTTCGATCCTTCTGCTCTGCTCTGCTCCTTCCTCCCTCCCCGCGACAGCGGAGGACACCCCACCCAAAAAACCGCCAAACCGCCGCTTCCCCCGGCTTGAAGCGGTCGACAGGCGATGGTGGGTCCTTCATCCATCCAGCGCCGGACTGTTGGACCAGCTCGTCCAACGACTCGGGCACGCCGCATCGATCCGACGGATTGCTGCGGTCAGCGGTCGACGCGAGGCGGGCGAGAAGGGCGGGGGAGAAGGGCGACCAGAACGAGACGTGAGTTTTGGACGGGTTGAAAGGTTTCGGATGTGTTGGAGATTCCTTGGGATCTGTTCAGCGGGGAGATTCGGATCTGAAATCAGGACAAAAACGGGTGACACCCAAAGCAGGAGACTGGGTGAAACCGAGCTTCTCCACTTCCGAGCTGACCCCCAGACGGAACCGACCCAAAAACGAGTCACAACCGACAAAAAAATGACGAGCTGAGCCTCTTGTTCATCGAAGTTCTCTGAATGTCTCCTTGCCCTGAAAAGAACGTTGATGAAAATGGGGGATCTCTTGCCCCTCGTCCCTTGCCCCTCCTCCCAAACCTGCCAAGTCGTCGCCACGCGACATGGGCATAGTGTTCTCCCACGCGCTGCACCACTTCCAAGTCCACCACGTCCTTCACCTTCAGGTGATACCGACGACCCGACGTGATGGACTTCTGCACCAAGCGATTCGCCTGCTTCCGGAAGAGCGGAGAGCGGAGCGGGTTCGAGAGTGTGGAAAACCCACTCCTTTTTCAGAAGGGTGGAGTTGAAGGAAGGTGGAAAATGATCTAAACACTTATGTTGTTCAAGATGTTTGAGATGTTGGTTATTCTTTTGAGTTCTGTTCTAGAGTGTCTTTTGAATTTGTGTCATCGCATCTTTTGCTACTTCAACAATATGTATATACCTGTATGGGGTGTCCTCCTCTTTTGAACACACTGAGCCCGAAGAATGTTCCCAACCAACAGCGATCAATGTTCCCAACCCTCACAAGCGAGGAGATCAGACAAAACTGGGTCCCCGTGGTCTTCTCGAAACACCCAGCATGAACTACAGTCAACCATACAGTTACACTACATACAGTCAACCAGTTCATCTAGAATTTATGAGTATATAGGAGTTCTATATAGTTCTATATTTATATGTATAGGAGTTCTATATAGTTCAACTATGTTCATATTCATTAGTTCACCAGGTCTTTCTTGAGACCCTGCAGCTGGTCCCGCCGTCCCCCGAAAACCGGTCCCGATACTGCCGCCTCGATGAGTCGCCCCGAAGCCCAGGCGTCCAGCAAACGCTGCCTGACCGACGCGACCGGTCGACGCCCGGGGACGAAGCGTGGGTGGCGCGCGCGGTGGGTGACGATGGGACGAGGAACGAAGCAAGGAGACGCGGTGACTATGGGGAGAGATGTGTGGATGAAAAAGAACAGCAAGACTATGCAAGACTGGTGAGCACAGAAGAAAACGGAAGGAAACTAACTCATGGTTCCAGACATGATGGCCCAATTGACGGTTCTGAACTGTTTTTGGTCTGGAGTCGGGAACTGTTCAAAAGAATGTGTTGTTCAAGCGCTTGTTGCATTTTGTGGGAGATGATCCTGTGTCCCGTGTTTCTTCTATCTACTCTCTTCGCCTTCAAAAAGAATCTATCAATTTATACTGAGGACCAATGACATGGACATCCGTGCCAGGCAAGGCAAGTTTCCAGGCAAGTGTGCCCGCAGTCGTTTCCAGAATGCTCATGTCATTGGCAGTCAGTATAAGTCCACCGGTCAGGACCGCAAGACCAAGCAAGGTCTTCTCCTGTTTAGCCATGCCGCTTGTCCTCCTCGTCGCTTTGGAACTTGGTGGCACGTGGCTTGGACTCGTCGGGAAAGTCCTGACCTCAGAAGTGGCTTCCGAGTGGAATGGCCAACAATCAGTCCATTAGTGTCCAAGAGGCACTCTGCAGTCGTGTTCAACACACCTGGTGTATGTATTTGTCCAGGGAGTCATGCAGCTGGTGCCTAAAGCGATGAGCTCAGTTATGATTGGAAGCCTGATGCCATCCTTTCCTTCAGAGTGTCACTGGAGTGGAAACAGTAGAAACTGTAAGACTTGCAAAACATTATGACGACAAAGCGATTTCAGAATATGCTCGGAGCCCGTTTGTTTGTTTTTTTACATGTTGATCTTCTATCTACGTACCCAGCATCACCGTCACCCAGCATCATCTCCCGTTGTGCCTACCTAAGGCCCTCAAAACCGTGCCCCTGCAACGAAATATCACCCGAAGAGTTCCTGACTTTGCTCTTTTGGAGGACCAAACCCGTCACCTGGCGCCCTCCTTCATTCATCCGTCGAACAACGTTGTTCATTCATCCCCCAGACACGAGCCGCCTGGAACTGCCATACTTACCTAGATTGGGGTGTGATTTCAAGGGCCCATGAAGGCATCCAGTCGCTACATGACGTGTTTGGGGCCGAAAAAGGTCGCCCAGCCCGGTCCCAGTCTGCACCGATCGCCCTCTCGGCGGCGTCCGGTCGAGGGGTCGGAAGAACACGCTTCGACAGCCCCTCCTTTGTGCCACACACCCACACACCGGCAGGAAGGAAATGGGCAGGGAAAAGGCAGGCCATAACCCACCATGCCAAGAGAGGTTAAGTAACCTTATAGGACCTTACTGGGGTACCTATGGGATAGCCTATAGGGTCCTTCAACCTCTGTTGGTGTTGATTGTCTTGACCTCTTTTGCAAGTGTGGTGTCTCAACCCAAAATAGTTGGGCTTCGCAAACGCGAAGGCTGAGCGGCGCAGTGCAGAACGGTGGGGAGTCCCTCATGTTCAGAGCGACGACTGGTCGAAGCGTGTGCAGAAGGAAGGAAGCTTTCAACACCGGCCCTCACAGTCATGTGGATTGGCTAAAATCTGCTAAAATCTGGCATCTCAAACAGGGCACCTGATAGAAGAAGAACTTGCCATCTTTCAGTCACTGTAAGTAGTTACTGCTCACTGCTCAAAACCTGCGGCTGACACCTTCTGCTGCTGAGGTGCTGTACCTGGAGGTGCTCAAAACCTGCGCCGGTTTTGGGAGGCTCATCGTCTTGGCTTTCGGAGACGTTCTCTTGGGCCGCCGCGTTGGGGAACTTCCACCGCTGCTGAAGCTTTGCATGGAGGTCACATCGGTCGTCAAGAGCTTGGGAGATCCCAGGGCGGAGTTCGCAGCGCCAGGGTGCGCAGAGTTCGCCGCGGTGTTCGCAGCTTTCGGCTTCGTCGTCGGAACGAAACTTGGGGGATCTGTCTTGGTCTCTGTCTCTTCCCAGATTGGAGCGCCTCGCCACTCGTCTGGCGGCGGGTTTTGCACCGAGTGGGGGCGCGATGGAGTCTTGATGGGCGTCAGGTAGTCACAGGAGAAGGGTTTCATCGTCACAAAGCAGGAGAGTGGGCCGAAGCCCAAATCACACAGTGGCACCTGGGTCTGACGGTCCTGGATTTCGACATCGACGTGATTCGCCATGTCAGTGAAACGTAAGGAAGCTTCTCCAGGAGCAGTGCAAGCAGAGTGCCAGGAGCAGTGCGTTGATTAAGTCTTAAAAATAGAAACTAACAAGGCAATACGGCAATACAAGCATCTGTCTGTTCACTCACGGACCTTGGCTTCTAAAGGGCAGCTTTGGAGTCCAAGAATTCCCGGTCTTAAGTCTTGTATGGGCTGAGTTTCTTTATGTGAGGCAGTTTTTGAGGACTTGTTCATCTGACCAGATCTGGAAAGACTGACCGGATCGACCTGCCATTGGTGTAAATCTCAGACTGTTGAGCCAAAGGCTAAAGAACTAAAGAGGGAATGAGAGGACTGGCCATGTTTGATGCTCAGATCAAGATCCTGGTTGAATAAGGACACAAGTATGGAGGATCTGTACTGATCTGTACATATCAAACTTTTAGCATCTTTCGGCATACAAGCCAAGACTCCACAAACCTCATGCTTTTTCACTTTGCTGCTTTCTTCTTGCGCTTCCTCGACATGGGTTCTGGCGCGGAGCCGCGACCGCCAGGACTGGCGCTCCGCGTGGTCTTCGATCTCTTTTGAGATGCGAAGATCCGTAGGCCGGCAGGGCCGGCAGTTGATGATGTTACCGCAGTGGCGATGTGCGCCTCGGTCTTGGGCTCAGCTTTCGCTACAGCACTGGCTGCGGCTGGACTGGGCCTGGCTTTCCGCTTCCGTTTCTCCTTCAGCACCTCAAGCATACCCTCCGACTTCCGGAACTCCGGATTCGTCGGATCAATCTCGAAGTCGGCGTGGTTGAAGACCTTGGAGATGCGTCGATCATTGACATTCATCTTGAAATGATCCAAATCATCTGGATTTGGGCCTTGATCATGAGCTTTTCTCTGTGGGCCCCGGAAATTGAAGCCACGCTCAGCTTTCTGGTCATCCATCAGTAAATCCAGATCTTCGGTCTCTTCTGGCGGAAGTGTCGCATCGTCGTTCTTCATCTTTTTGAGCTTCTCCCTATCTTCCCTTGCCTGCTGCTTCCGCTCCCTCTTTTTCTGCTTTTTCTTTTCAAGGTACTTCTCCCAAGCACTCTGAGGTTGCTGCTGCAAAGTATGGACTCCATGACCCTCCTGCTTGGCTCGCTCGGCCAGCTTGTCTTCCAGCGCACTTGCTTTCACACTGAAGGTGGCCTCCATATCACCTTCGTTCTTGCTTTTCTTGAGTCCTTCCATGTCACTATCCTCACTAGGGTGAAGGCTTTCAGAGTCACTGCCCGCCACCAAAGCTTTCAAATCTCCTGCTCCCTCCTTCTCCTCATCCGAGCTGGAAGCCAGGTACGCTTGCAAGTCCATTTCCGCCATCTCTTGCGGTGTAAACCTCTTCTTCATCAAATCCTTCCGCCGCTGGACCGGGGCTTCATCCCAGGTGCACTTGACCTGCGAGTTAAAAAGATTATTTTTTTTAAAAAAAAAAAAACATGCAAGCAAGTTCAAAGCATATTGCACAGCGACGGTCCGATGGGTTCCGCTTGGTTGATCACCTTGAGGATTCCTCTTTCCACCAATCAAAGAACATTGAGAACTATTCTTCCTTTCTCCTAAACAAGTGCTGTCTTGGTGCCACAGCCTCCGACAGCCTCCCCACAACCCCCCCCCTGACCAACCCTGATCTCTCTGTCACTCCACGCCTTCGTGTGCCTCGATGCCGAGCGCAACATCCCCGGCCCGGCGAACTTGCTCGGCAGCTCTGTGGCCACGCTGCTGGGCGCGTGGGGCGGCGCCACGTCGGCCGGCACGAAGCGCAGGTCCAGTGAGGAGGGGCACACGCCTCGGGGACCGGAGGACCGGCGGGACCGGGAGCGGCGCATAGCAGCGCTGCTGCTAGCGCGGGAGCAGTGGAGATGGGGAGCTAAGAAGGTGGTGTTGAAGGTGGGAAGGTGGTATCTCAATTAAAGGTTGGCAGTGGTAGAGGGGCAAGGTGCACACTCTAGACCTCACCTGAATTGTTGGATCAACAAGCAGGAGATGCTCGGTTCTTCGGAGAAGGTCGCTCGTGCACTTGTCGCTAGCCAGGGTCAATTTAGAATATCTTGAATCAATCCGACTTCCAATCCCATCTATTGCTGCTGCCTTCAATCCTCCCTCCTCCCTTAAGAACCGGACCATCAGCCTCAAGGCCGTCCATCTGGTCGTAAAGCCACGCCGCAGTGGACACTGAATCACATTCCACCAAGGCCCAAGAGTATTTGGTCCGGTTCATTTGGTATCGTCCTGGCATCAACGTGCGCACGCGAAGCTCAGGAGACGGAGCATGCTGTCTCGGCTTTCTTGTTGAGAGATCTGTCAGAGAGTTCGGCCATCCATTCATCTAAGGGGTGTGACTCAATCTCTCACTGAGAAAAGCATGTCCGTCTGGTTGCTTTGAGGAGATGTCAAAACCTTGAGAGATCTTCGGATCCATCCACATACTTTTGTCAGAGGGAGTGATGGCAAAATGGCCAGCAAGACTTAAGGCTTCTTGTTGCGCTTCTTCATTTTCTTCAAGTCCACGCTGGCCACGTGCATCAAGGGTTGGCCCTTCTTTGGCCTGGAGAGGAGTTTAAGCAAAGAACTTCTGAATTTAGCTCCTTGAGGGACAACGATTGAAGACTCAAAGGGATAGGTCGCATCAAGTAAAAACGGGTGCAAGGCTACGTGGAGCAGCTACATGTTGCATTGCATAAGCAGCGGGCCCGACCTCTCTTTCGAGCTGCTGCAAGCCGTAATCCGAAGGATAAACGCTAATCTTTTCAACCTGGTTGGTCGGCCGGACTAAGCTGTCAACAGGAGACCCAGATTCGGCTTCAAGATGTTTCAAAGGGGTTCTCCCAACTTGAGACAAACTCCAAAAAGTGGTCTTGAAAAGCTGCAGCCCAGCTAAGCCATGAACCAAATCCGAAACCAAACAACTCTCCTTTGCGTCCAACAAACCAAACCCAAAAGATCCAAAAGCTTTCTGAAGGTCGACGTATACAGAGCAACACTTCCAGCTTGGCTCTTGGATCTGGCATTGGCCAGATAGGTGCGGAACATCACCTGTCGCGCGGCGCTGTCGCGCAGCGCGACAGCGCCCCCGGTCTTCCGTCTTGGGGAGCACTGACCGTCTGCCGTTCGGTGGTCGGCGGCCACCGAAGCCCCTCGCGGCCGGCGGGACCAACGGAGTGAGTTCAGATCTGGCCCGAAAAGCCATGTTTTGCATGTTGGAAAATCCTTTTGTCTCGTGAGTGTTCCACCTTGGTTGCAGGCGCTGGGAACGATGGCTCAGGGCAAACGTTGATCTTGTAGTGCCTGTTCCACACACAGGCGAAGTCATCCACAAAACCACAACCCCCTCCCCCCCCAAGAAGATGTTTCTCAACGCCCAAAGCACCAAATACCGACAGCCTCACTCAGTGTGAGTCACGTTGCCCCCCAGGGCGGTCGACCCCGGGTCAAATGAGCTGATTCCTTTGTAAGGGATGTCCACCTCCCATGGATTGGGTCGGTTCTCACTCACAGCCATTTCAGTGTGATGTCTCTCACTCGCTTCGTCGACCGTGCGGCACAGGCGTCTCGACCGTGCCGTTTCGTCTCGCGCACGCCGACGACCGTGGCGGGTCGGGCGCACCATCAAGTCTCCCGCTGAGACGTGATCCCAATCACAGCCCATCACAGCCAGTCGGGAGGTCGCATCACCCTGTGGGATTTCCTCTGGAACCGCCTCATCGTGGACCTCATCCTGGATCAAACTCAGTGGTCTTAAAGGACAATTGGTTTGTGTTGTACATGTTGTATTTATATAGTACAGAAGTCTTTGCAAGAAGAACTGCTGCGCCTCCTCCTCATCCTCCTCCTCTGACTCCTCCAAGTCTTCCATTTGATCCGCATCTTCATGCTCTGCTTCATCGACCTCCTCTGCCTCATCTTCAATCTTCTCCGCACCTTCTACTCCCGCTAGCTCGTAGAACTCCCTCAGCTTCTGCTTCCCCGCGTTCCGCCGAAGGCGTTCCCCGCGCGCGTCCACCCGAGGGGTCTCTACGAACTGCTGATCCTTGAACATCCGCGCGAAGCGCCCATCCACCTGCACGCGCCGCACATGCCGCGGCGCCCGCTTGAAGCGCGGATCCTTGGACGTGTCGAAGCGATCCATCGCGCCAAACCGGTTCCCCGGCGGGGGGTTCCCCGGAGCTGTTCGACTGCCGCGGGCGCGAAGGTCGGAAGCTCGGGGCGCGCGAAGTAGGTGGGATTTGAGGTCCAAAAAGGTTTGGAAGGTCGCGATCCGCGAAGATCAAATGACACATCATGAGATGGGTATTGAAAACAAAAGGGTTTGTAGATGTTAGTGTCTGAGCTGCTTCAAGGATTTCTGGATCCAAAAGGAGCTCTGAAATATGATCGCATTGTGAGTCTGCACCAGCTGCACCAGCCATGCTAGCGTCTTATTGCTGATGCTTTGAGCCGTAGCTGGCGATGCAGGCTTTGGGCATGGAGCGTGTATGATCTTTCAAGGAGCCAAGGACAAAAAAGCCGTCTCAACAGCCAACATGCCTGGCCAGCCTGTCCCTTAGGTCATAGCAGGTCAGCACCACCTCAAGATGTTCTTTTTCCACACGTCTGGATGCCCACGTCAGGAGCGCACCACGAGCACCGCGCTGGTGCGGCGTGCTGGAGCGGCAGGGTCGGGGCACACACCTCCGGTCGCACCATCTCTTCAGCCACCAGGTGAACCCCCTTCGTTGAAGAACCATCATGATCTCTGATATGGATACAAAGAGGTTAAGCATGGGTTTGGAGCAGGGATACGCAGAAGGCATATTGAACTCTTATGCAATGGACTCTACATCGCAAGTGTTGAAGGCACTTCATATGGATACAAAGGGCCCTAAAGAACTGGCCCACCACAGCTGCCTTGCAGCCCAGAAACTGGGCGAGTTGGTGTGAAATCAGTAGAGGAGGTCATCACTCGGCTGGCTTGCAGGAGAATCTTCGAGCTCCCATTTGCCATCCTGGACACCAAGAGAAGGGAGGAGTCTATGTTTACATGCCCTGGGACTCTGGGTGCTTGCAACACAAACCCTGGAGGCCATTGGAGTTCTCGATTGGACGCCATCAGGCCCGCCGAAAACCACAGAAATGCAACTGCCCGGGGCGCACATCTGCTTCGACATGGCCGAGGTGAAACAAACCGCTCGGTCGCGGGGTTTAACCATCAACCTCTCGGTGGGCAGCCTGTATTTCAGTACTTCATGAGAACTGACTCAGTAGTGAGCCCCAGTATGTCCCCACCTCCTCCGTTGACAGGCTGAAGGGGACATCATCGGCAATGTACTCGGAGTCGTCCGCGAAGTCATCCTGTACGCGAAGTCAAAAAGTGTCCCAGAAACCATGGAAAAAGGAGAGAGAGAGAGAGACACACACACAAAAAAAAAAAAAAAACGTCCTAGCAAAACAATTCCTGTTGGCATATTGTTTATGATCATGTGACCTTCTTGCTTCATGGACGTTTTCCTCATAACTCATCAACTAGTAACTGGTCTTTGGTCGCCGTCCTCCGCAAACTCATCTTCTCCAAAGTCATCTGCATCCTCAAAGTCCTTGGCTTCCCCGGAAGCATCACCGGGCCGATGCTCGGGACGCTGCTGGAAGCAGCCTCCGGCGTTTGAGGTCTCCCCTTAGCTCCCCTCCCAGTGTTCCAGAGAGGCGAGGGATGCCATGGTGGGGGTGGATGGTCACCGCACACGCTGCTGGCACCTGCAAAAAAAAACCTGATCCGGCCGAAAAACTAGTTGTAGGATTCTCCCCAGGTTCAACCAAGCTGACATTGACTGGTACACCAAATTACTATCGCCCGACTTCATCCAACTTCCTTCTAAGGATCCTCCTCGATCTGTTGTGAAAGGTCGAAGCCTCTGTCATCCTGGCGCTGCGCCATCTGTGTTTGTGGCCCAAACGCCATCGGTTCGAATGGTCATCCGCGGACGCAAGCCGCTCGCGCGGACGAAATCCGCTCGGGCCATGTCCGTCGCTGCGAACTGACGGTGCTTCGTTCAACGAAAGGGGCCAGGTTTCTGCAACTTCGAGTTTTGTATGTAGTGCTACCATGTGCTGGGGTGTCACCCTCACCCTCCTTGATCAACGTTTTGTCCAAGCGGCACAGAGTATTTTTGGGCCTGTGGAGTTAAATGTTAAATCTGTGGAGGAAATTTCTGCAAAGCTATGGAACGGAAATCCGCTGTTCAATTCAAACAGTCACGCCATGTGGCGCATCAGACCCCAAGCCAGTTCTGTCCTCCTCCTCAGGGTTGTCAGCTTTCCACTCTTCGAAAAGCTCCCTCTCCGTCCTGGAGGCTTTTCAAACCTTTCCGGTGGAGAAAACAGTAAAGAATATGAAGAACTCCAAGTTTACCCCAAGAACGACACATTCACCTCACCACCTGAAGACCAATGAGAATAGACCTGAAACTTTGGTGCCTTGTCCTGTGATCTTTTCAGTTTACTGGGGTTTTGCCCAAGGGAATTGTCTGTTTTCCAGAGACCCGCTACGCGCGACATTCGTGAAGCCCCTCTGCCAACCAGCACGCTTCAAGCACAGGTCAAGTATGTACCCCGGACAACAGCTGCTTGATGTGGCTGAGCTGCTGGGCATAAAAACAGAAGATCCGGGAACAACAACTGCTTAGGGTAAGCACCGTGTCAGGATGGTTTATCAGATGGAAAATACATAATAGTCAGGGAAGGTTCATAAACCACCCGAACTGGATGGTGCTGGTAGATCTACTTAGACTTCGTCGATGTCTCATCGATATGTCTCCCACCTGTCTCCACCAATCGCTCGCCCGCTCGCACTCCCCTGTCTCGCCCCTCCCTGTCTCGCCCCCTCCTGGCCACCCAGCTATCCGTCTCATCGTCGGGTTCCGCGGCGTCTTCGAGCCACTCATCCACATGCGCCACATAGGGACTCCAAGTAGCCTGACCACCGGAGCGAGTCCGCGGCGGTCTGAGGGGTCTCAGCCGTCTCAGCCGTCTCCCCCTTTCTCCGCATGAAAGCCGCCTTTCTCCATGCCGTGGGCTGTTGGGGGGCTCTCCAACCCAGACATGAACCACGTTTCTGCGCACCGGTCACGAGCTCCCGCCGAAGTCACGTCGCTCCACGACCCAGGTCCGTCCGACGCGGTGGTCGCTCCGTCCACCGGGCCTTTTCGGCCTCCGACTTCTCGCGATCTCGCAGTTGCTCCCGCGTCAAGCCTGGAGAGGTATAGGGCGCTCCCGAGAGGAGACCGGGCGCCGGTATAGACTCTGATGAATGACGACAGGGTGAAAGAATGAAGAGGGTGACAGGGTGACAAGGAAATGTACTGATGATCTGATAGGGGTCATCGGCCTTGTGTGAAGGAGCTTTCTTAACTTTCATTGCTTTGTTTCAGAATTGTATATACTTGGCTGCTCGACCATTATTCAACTGATGCAGCTTGTGCGGCGTTGTGTGATCAGATTCTGGGTGGGCGTGTTTGGCATGACAAATTCCAACAATAGATCATCATGAAAGGAATTGATTGAATAGATTACTGTTCGAGTATTCCTTCCAACAGGTATGTTCATGACGGTGCGCTGCCATGATGAGACCATGAAGAAAGCATTGAGAAAACATGCCGGGCTTGGTTGGGATTGACGGATATGCAACGCTCACGATGCAGAATGCAAAGAATCGCAGCATGGAATCATGAACGCGCTAAAGTTTTGCACATGTGCATGTGCGCATGCCATTTGCAAAAGTGCACTGGAAAATGGCCTTGGTGGATGGCACGTTATTCCCTAGGGCTCCAACCATATCCTCAGAAGGTGGTTAGACCCCCCAAACCCACCCTAACCATCTTCTCAGGAGGTAGTTGGAGCCCTAGGGATTGTTATTGCATTTTGCCTGACTGGTTTTGGGTCCATCAACAATCAACCCATGGATGTATAGTAAGGCTCCCACGCTCGGGTCGGGGATCGCCCATGGGTTGAATGCCCTCGCCGGTGCGTCGCTTCGCTGCCACCTGGCAGTGTGAGACGGTTTGAATGACCCGAGTTGTCCTCGACTGTGGAGCAGTGCTTTCCAACGCCAAGTGGGGGGTCAAAACCTGAAGCCCTAACACAATGTAGCTTGACCTTCCAGGTAGGTCAACCAGTGGTTCTTATGCACACCAGTACTCCCCAGAACCCACCAAGAGGTGAAGGGCTGTGGGAAGCGTCAGACAGGAGCGCAAGTCGTGTCGGTAGGTCAACCAGGGCATCCTGTTTTCAAAGCCAAGTCGATGTAAAGCAGGGCAACACCAGAGCCCCAGTGTTGACCATGTTGCCTTGTCCGCGAGCTTCGTTGATGGTGGTCTGTTGGCCACGAGGTCAATATGTAGGCTATTCTTCACCTGCATATCAGGCACCAGCGGCGTTGGGCGAGGAGAGGATAAGACCCATACAAACACGAGAACACGGAAGACCTCCTAAAACGCTGGGCTTTCTTGCAGATCAAAGCCAAAACCCCAGTGTTTGATTGGAAAAGTTCTCCTGCATACGGCGTTGCCTTCTCCACCCAGAATTCCATCTGTGCACCACGAGGATACGCAGTCCAGGCATATTTGTGGACTCGCTCCCAGTTGTAGAAGCCATACCTTGGCCAAAATATCACTGCCGTTACAGCTCCCAGTTGTGAAATGAAACCATCAACCAGCCGAGGCATCTCGAATCCTTTTCTTCACACATGTGTATATAATGTATATATATATATAAAGACTCACCGCGGTTTCTTATTTTCACCTTGCAGTGCAGACCTAAGTGGTCAAAATGTAAAAGGAAAACTATGCCTTAAAATGTTCTCGATGGGCCTCCCTGGCCCGAGTCCCCCCCACTGTACCTCGCCAATTCGAGGATACAGTGAGCCAGGAACTCAGGGGTGTCCTGGGCCCCGCCACACCGGGGTACGTCCAGGCCGCCACCCCTCTTCTTGTTCCTCTCAAGCATATTTTTATACCGCCGGCGGTGTCCGAATTCCAAAACAGGGTCATTTCCTGGGTTTCTTGCGCTTCCTTCACCTGGGCACGAAGCGGGTGGGAAGGGAGGGGCTGAGAGCCCAAACCCTTCGGGAGAAAAGGAATCCACCTAGTTCGTCTTAACACCCGAGGTCGTAAGTTCAAAGACTCACCGCGGTTTCTTATTTTCACCTTGCAGTGCAGACCTAAGTGGTCAAAATTTAAAAGGAAAACTATGCCTTAAAATGTTCTCGATGGGCCTCCCTGGCCCGAGTCCCCCCCACTGTACCTCGCCACCCCGAGGATACAGTGAGCCAGGAACTCAGGGGTGTCCTGGGCCCCGCCACACCGGGGTACGTCCAGGCCGCCACCCCTCTTCTTGTTCCTCTTAAGCATATTTTTATACCGCCGGCGGTGTCCCCATTCAAAAATATGATCATTTCCTGGGTTTCTTGCGCTTCCTTCCAGTTCCCCCAGCCCTGCCCATTCGGGCATGCTCAAGGGGTTGGAGCTCCAAAGATTTAGATCTCTCATACTGTCTTCGAAAAGCCTTTGCCTTGGCGTTGGTTGCCAATTGAAACTCTGCTAGTACTGCAAGACCCTCATTAATGTAGATTCTTGCGGTCTTTGCCGCCTGCCATCTACCTGCTATTAGCAGTTTGTCTAGGGACCCGTGCTTTGCAAAATAGGAGGCGGCGCCTCCCCTTCGCAGGCTGTAGGGCCTAAAAGCATGTTCACTGAGCCCCGTGGCATCTAGGTATTCAGCAAACTTCTTTCTCCAGACATGAGCGGCCTCGCATAGTGAAGGTCGAGAGCCTGGGGTATTCTTCCACTGCCAGAGTCGTCGCAGGGTATCCTCTTCGCGAATTGTCACACTTTCAGCCGCGCCTTGACGACGACCACCTTTTGTCATTCCTAAGCAAATGACCGCGACACTCCGCGGGCCTCGCTGTTCTACGTGGCTCTTCTTGACTCCCAGCAGCTCACCTGCCCGCAGAAGGCCATGAAACCCTAGCAGCAAGGAAAGGGCAAACAAGTCGTCCTTCTTGAACCGGCTGTAGCCAACAAGTATGTCTAACGCTTCTGTGGGAAGGGGTGGAGCGCGGCTTGGGGTTTCTGTGGAGGACCAGGTCTTCATCAACCTCCAGGAGGATGGCAACCTCCCCTTGACTGAGTTGTAGTCTTGAACCGCTGCTATGGAGTCACAAGCCAGAGCACGGCCTTCCCCACTTTCCCAGAGGAATTCTATGTAGTGACTAAGCCAGAAGTCAAGCGTTGGAGGGTCATCTGGGAACCTGCGACTTTCTTCTCGAAGGTAGGTACGAAACTTTTCAAGCGCCTTGTCATATCGTGCTCTGGTGGCTGGTTGGACTGCTAAGTTGCGTAGCGGCCCCAATGCTCGTCGCTGCTGCTGCCGGGATGCTTTGTCTTTGCCTTCTATGTGTACTTTGCTATGGCTCACCATTTCTTCTTTACTGGTCTCCTCGACGGCCCATGGGCCGGGTTTTCTTTCGTGTGAATATACGCCCACACGCCATGTGAGCCACTGGCAAGGAGCAAAGCATTTATCCGACTCATGGTGCGACGAAGTTTGCGGCTGCTGCTGCGGCCTCTTGACAAGGAGTGGAGGCACACCAAACTATCCACCATATGCACGAATTTCGTGCGCAGCGACTTCTTCTTTACTATCCGCCAGCGAAGCAAGGTGAGAACTGCCCGCATCTCCAAGACGTTGATGTGTTCTGGAGAGCCCTTCCAGGTCCACCCCATGACTGTCTTCCATTGCCACAAGCTGGAAGGCAGACTAGCTCGCAATCTATGGTATCGAAGAGTCTCTTCACTTGGCGCTTGAATCACGATGTCCTCGCCCTTCACGCTGACTAAATTTAGGAGTTTTGAGATGAGCTCATACTCCCCCTCTGTACCTGCCTTCTTGATGCGCTTCATGGCCTGGCGCTGTAATACTCCTCCCATAGTGGTTGATGCTCCTGGCTTCGTGGCATCGACTGCGTCTTGCGGACTTTTGGAAGGACACAACCCAAGTTGCTGGCCAAGTTGGGCGAGAAGCCAAACCACGACTGTCACATTCCAACTATTGCCTATCAAGCTCTTGCGCTCATCCTCATGTGCTTCACTTCCAAGATGTTGTTTCGACATACACTGCATAGTATAGTCCCGTGGGAACCCCATGATTGTCTCCCGCTCACGGACTGAGGGAATCCGACGTGTGCCATTACCTTCTTTCACCAGCAAGCGATGAGCGTACTGGTATGGGGGAAAGCGGAACTTGTCTGCTTCCCATCTCTCTTTTTCTTCAGCGCTGAGCTTTTCCAGGCCGGCTGGTCTTCGTCCTGGATGAGTTCGTGGCCTCGCTGTCGTGAAGGTGGGGAACGGCTCCTCCGAGACTTTCACGCAACCTGCTGATAGGAAATCGCTGGGATTGACCTCCGCTGCAAGTTCAACTTCCTGAAAGGCCGCCATCCCCTGGTCAACTTTAGGATGCATGCGAACCCCAGGTCCTGACATCAACTCCCAATCCAACCAATACAGCCGAGGTCGACGGGCCAGCGAAACACCACTTGCCTCGATCTTCACCGGAGTGTCACCAAAGTCTTGCGACATGATCTCGCGGTCCTTTCGGTCCATTGAAGCAACGCTCTCGGCTAAATATCTGACCTGCGCCCAAGGGAAATGTACCTTCAGGAGCTCTTTGATGCGCCGCGCGTGGCTAAATAGGCAGCTTCTGTGATCTCGCAGGGCTCCTCGCCGCTCACTGTTCAATCCGCTTACGCCTTGACAAGGCGGTCCAGCCCCCAATAGGACTAAAGACGCTTGGGAAAACTTCGCCGCCCAGCGCCGGACCATCTCCTCATCAACTGCTTCCACTCCTCCCTCAACGAACTCTGTCGCCGGAAACTTGCTCTCGAGGACGCGGCTTGCCTCTTTCTTCACTTCCACACTGATGTGACCTAGGATGGGGAAACCACACGCATCAGCTGCCACTCGCAATGCACCGATCCCGTCGAATAGACCTATCGTTAGGACCGCACACATGTCCGATGGCTCTGCAACATCGCCTCGAACACTAGCTCGTGACGCCGCCTCTCCGAACCCTGTCAGGCCAACACTTCGAGTCAAGCCCCCACCAGTTGTAGATGCGTCACTGGCCGTGACCTCTGAACTCACCTCCAACCTAAAGTCCATCTGCGCCAGAGGAACTAACGAAATAAACCTTGCAATCTCCAGCCTAACTTCCGCAGGAATCTCCAGCTTGATCACTGGTGGGTAGTGCTTGAACTCCTCAACGAAGCGCCATACTGCGTTCAAGGAACCCAAGAGTGGCCTTCTGAACACGCTCATGTACATAAACCCCCCACCAACCACTTGGATCTGCTTTGGAGTGCACCTCTTCTCCCCCAATACAAAACTACCCAGCTGGGCGTACTTGAGCACCTTGGCGGGTTTGGGATAAGCAATCCCCCTCACTCCATCAATGATGGCACCTTGTACCTCGGCCTTCAGCGATCGCGCGACTCCTTTCTTTGGATGACGAGGAACTCCCCATCTCTCATACTCCGACCGGAGCGCCAGAATACTGGCACTTGGCTCCCCTCGTAGGAACTCAGCTGTGCGCTTGTCCATCTTCTCCAGCGAGTCGAAGTTATCTAAGTACACTCTGCGCAAGGTGGTAGCGGAAGAAAAGGGTCTGTCTTTGCGCACCTCTTGTTCAGGCTTGAGCCCCCCCCCCATTTGATCCCCTGCTCTTCTCACCATGGCCCTGTGAACGTGTTGGGCCAAGCTCACGCTGTTCTTAAAGCCCATCGGTAGCACTTGTGAGGCTAAATAATAAGGACCATCATCATCCGGCCACATCTCTCGTGGGTTGGGTTTGTTGAAAACAAGGAAACCTGACCACTCACAAGGAACCTGGAAAATATAAAAGAAACAGCGTACATCCTCAGAGGAATCACCAAATCTTCACACGGCATCAGTTGCAGAGGGCTCATAGTAGCCCAAGTGGGGAGAGTGGCTACGTCTCCTTCGATGCCACGGCATACCAGGTTGGCTGGCCGAAGATCCATGATCAGTGTATGAACAGGATGACCTTCGTGTTCCTCCCTTTTGGAACTCCAAAGAGTCCATTTAGGAGGGGGCGCCCGTCAACGTGATAGAGGTCCTTCTCTTTCAATGGGATGCACACACCCTTTCCCAACAACCCTTCGCAGACTCGCGGCCAGGCCTCGTCACTGATCATGATTCGCGGCGGCTTCATAGGCTTTTGCAACTCCTCAGGCAGGACGTACGACTTGAAGTTCAATACGTAATGACGGCATCCTAGATCAACCACTTTAGCCAAGGGGACCGAGGCAATCTCCGAGGGCATTGCTGGGGCAAGGTTATCCCAGGTGGTATACTGAGCACAGAGGACCTTGTCACCACAGTAGTCGATGGTCTTTACCTGGAGAAAGTCATGCCACGTTGTCTCCTCAAACCTTTCTTCCCATTCAAGAACTGCCCTGGTCTGACCTTCCAAGAACCTCAGGACCCCGACCTGCAGAGGGATCGGGGGAAATTTGTTCTCCAGTTCAACCCCGTAAAGACAATTCAAAGACATGCACATGCCCCTCATCACCATGGAAGCTTCTTCTGAGATCTGCAAAGCCTCCCTGAGCACCCCCATCTCAGTGGGCAACGGAAAGACGTCACCAGTGGGCTGGGTCGTGCACTGCAAAGGCAACTCAATCATGGAGCTTGCTTGAACTAAGATGGAGGAAACCCAAGGAAAAACATGATACAACTCCTCACCCCTGGTCGGCGGCTTCATGCAAACTTTTTGCAAGGTTGAGGCGTGCGCTGAGGCGTCAACACTTGCGTCCTCGGCCAGGGCAACCCCCTTTAAATGGCGCCTCTTGGCCTCTGTACCCAGTGTGGTCGAAGCTGTCGAAGGTCCAGCCACACTGCCACTGGAAAAAGCGGTTCGACTCTCCTCAAATGGTCAAAACCCATCATACTGCGATTCCTTCATAGGATCATCTTGCTGCCTCACGTCTCCTGCTTCTTCTGCTCCTTGTCTTTGCCTTCTTTGCCCTCTTTGTGCTTTCCTTTCTCTTGATGCCATGGCGCTTCTCGCCAGCCGCTTGACCAATCTCCTTTGTTCTTCCCTTTGCTGGCCTCGGCCCGGGTGCGATTCTCCTCTTTCGACTCCTTGATGGCCTCCCGGGCCTCCGTGCGGCTTGAAATGATTGGCTTCTCCATCGGCACCAGCTCGATCTTCTGCGATATCGGGAGCTCATTTCTATGGCCTTCAGCCGTTGCAGCAGGCCATCTGCAGCCTCGGCCACTCGACCTTGCATCAGGAGGTCTAGACACCAACTCAAAGTCAGTGCTTCGCGAGATTGCCCTCCTGTCACCCTGGCACTCAGGACCTGACGGAAGTACTGGCAGCAAATCGGTTGAAGCGGCCCTTCTGATCCCAGATCCCCTGTGTTGAGTTGAGGAGGTTGCTGGCCATCTCCCGGCATCCTGCCGTGGTCAATGCTCCCGGTGCCAGGCGTCCTATCCTCCTCACCTTTTGAGTCTCCTCGAAAAGTTCGCCGCTCTCTTCCTCGGATGAGTCGCTGCTGCTCCCTGTTGATGAACTCCCGGACGAACTCTTCTTCTTTTTCTTCAGCCTCTTGGATGCCTTGGCAGCTATCTTGTTTCTCACCTTTGGATCTGGGTCCATCCCAGTGCCGGCGAACACGCTCTTCAGGCTTTTGCGAGCTAGCGGCGCTGAACTCTTCTTCTTCTCCTCTTCTTTGGGAGACTTGTCCTCTCCTGAGGATCTCCCCTTCTTTTGCTTCTTTTTCTTCTTGTCTTTCTCCTTGCTTCTTCCTCTCTCTGGCACTCGCTTCTCCTCTCCTTCTTTCACGGCCTCCTTTGCGCGAGGTGCTTCGGCCTCTGTCTTCCCTCCTGGATGTCCTTCTTCGACCAAGTTCATGGCCCAGGCGGGGTCTTCCCCGGTCCGCATCTTGATCTCCTCCCCATGTAGGAGGTTCTCGGCGTCCAGCATGGCTTCGCAGCGAGCCCCGCATAAGTGTATTCGCATCACTTTTTCTGTTGCCCCGCTCGCCCACTGAAGGATGGACTCCGTTGAAGTGCCCTGCAAGTCCAACTCGAGCTCTATGCCCTCGCGCCCACGAACTTGAACGCCTTTCACCAATCCGGCGACCTCGCCTGGCGTCCCCCAGTATCGTCCGGTGACTGTGACCGGGAGACGCTTCCGAAGGACCTCTAGTGGGATTGAAGGACATTGTACTGACTGACCCTCTTCAAACAGGCGTCCTTCTTCTCCTCCTCGGGTTCTCAATGCCTCACGTCCTGCAGGTTCGACTCCTGCCGGGCGTCGTCTCACCACCCCTCCCCTTTCTCCAGGAGGTTCTTCTCTAGCCTCTCTTCTCTCTCTAGCTCTTGCTGCCGGTCTCCTCAATGCCATTGAAGAGCTTGGCAGGGACCTGTACTACCGTCTAAAGTAGTGCTGGTCTTCCTTCTTCTTTCTACCCTTGTTCACCCCCCAGAATTGGGGTTCCCTTTGCCACGACTTGAACTGACCTGACCAGTAACGACCTGTTGGTCGAGGCTCTGGTGGAGCTGGTCCTGCACGCCTCTCCACAGGCGGCTGCTTAGGAGGTGGTCCTCCCCTGTCTCTTGGTGGCGATCTCGACGGTGTCTTTGGCGGTCTAACTGATGGCTTCGCTTTCTTCTCTTTGCCTTGCTCGGAGTGATGACTTCTCCGACCTTTCTCTGGAGTGCTTGCCTTTCGCGAAGAGCTCCTCCTTCTCCTTCCTCGTGACCTCTTGCTCCTGGATCTCTCTCTCCTTCTCTTGCTTCTGCTTCTTTGCCTCTTTTTCCCTTCCTCTTCTTTGCGAACCTTTGATTCACTCGAATACTTTTCCTCCCCTTCTGGGAGGTTTACGTCTTCTACTCCTGGGCTTCCTTTAGGGCTTTTGTTCCTGTCCTTCTCCTGCTTTGGCACGATCCAACTTTTGTCGGGCCTCTCAACTGCCTCTCCTGCTCCCCTCTCGCTAGGAGCCCCTTGAGGTACAGCAAGACTCGCGGCCTTTGAGGCAGTAGTGTCCTCTGCAGCCTTCTTTTGCCGCTCAACCTCGAGGAACTTGTCCAGCTCCTCTCGGATGATTCCTCCCCAAATGCGGAGGTTGGTACTCGCCCACCCACGGAGCGAGACAGGCAGCTCGTCCAGGCCCAACCAGAAGAGGTCACGCACTCGACAAAAGGAACACTTACCGTCTGGTTCGGGGGTATGAACTCCACACAGCCTACACGGCTGCATATGCTGAGAGCCCAAACCCTTCGGGAGAAAAGGAATCCACCTAGTTCGTCTTAACACCCGAGGTCGTAAGTTCATGTATATACACACACTCTATAGAGTATAAAGTAAAAAGAATCATAATACAATATGTAACAATTCAATATAGTATAGTATAGTATGGTATAATATGATACAATAATACAACACAATTTAATAGTATTATGATTTAAAATTATATATATATAGAGAGAGAGTATGAAATACATGTGTTAGTTTTCTATAGTAAAGAAAAATTACAATGATATAATAATGGTCACCGCCCTTTCGAAAAGGAGAAGCACATCAAAATCCTTGAGTTGGGTGGGGGTGAGGGAGATGCGTTTGGATCGGGACGGCAGCCTGGGCTCGTTCTTTGGCACGCGGCCAAGGCGCCAAACACTGTGAGTACCGACGTCTTTGAGGGTGCGTGTGCAAAACACTGCAAACACCGTGTGGGCACAACGATCAAAACACAACGTAAATGCCGCGGTTTTGAGAACTTGATAGCCTAAAACCATCAGTATTTACATTGTGTGCTGCTGCAGAGGGGCACAAAACTGCACAAATGGCGTGGTTTGATGCACTTTTAATCCTAGGTCCTAGAGCAGCTAAAAACGAGCGCGTGCACTGACCGAGTAGTGTCTGCGTTCCTTCCCGCGGGCATCGCCAATTGTTTGTTTAATGTTTCCTTCATTCATGTCATTTCATGTCCTTTCATTTCATGTCATTTCATTCATCCACTGTTTTTAAGTCTATTATTGTTGTTTATTTCTGTGGTCAACTTCTTCCTTGGTTTAACCTGAAGAATCGCACATTCCCCAGCAGATTCCGGCAGCCACAGAATAGATCACAGCCACGCTTGTGCCAAGTGACTCGTTTCTTTCTCGGGGATGTTCACGTGCATGGATTCGAGCCAAGCGGTCACATCCAATGTCAACCAGGGCCCACTTGTCCCAGACTCTTCGAATGATCCCGGTGACCTGTCGGTTTCGAAAGCGTCTCGAAAGCCTACCTACAAATGTGTCGCCAGCATCTGCAAGCGGGGCCTCTTAGAAGTGATAGACACAAATAGACCAAAAGCAACCCAAGTCATCTGTTGCATTGTCCAGGTTGGTCTACCATTTCCAGATCTCTGGGCAATTCCTCGCTTCCTCCTCTTCCTTTCCTCCACTACTGGAAGACACTGCCGCCCAATGATTTGGAAGCCGACTGGGAAAAAAGGTAAGGGGAGGAAAGGCTGAGGGCCCCTTCCAACGAAGCTGTTGGTGACGCGCACCTGCATGCCCTTCTCAATGTCATGCACACTGTATGGTCTGGGCTTCCCCATGAAGAGCTCTGGCAGATCCTGGGGGTTCTGCCCATGTGTCTGTCCAAAAGACCCTGCAAAAGATACTAATGACGGTGTGACAACCACAAGCAAGATGAGGCCATCGGCACTAGGGCCACTGCTCAGAGCAGTTTCCCTGCATGCTCTTTCTTCATCCATGTTTGCAAACTACTTGGTATTCCTTTGGTTATGCCAATGAGTGGGGATCAGGAGGAAGTGGGGTCGGACCGGATACAGTGAAAGATTCCGCCCTAGACCCTGAACCCTTCACATCCCTGCTCCTTGGTTCTTCCGAATCCATGCTCCCCGATTGGATCAAACAATGGGGGGATACCAAATAATGAGCAAATCCACTGCAAACCAGAAAGTCTCATAGGTTCTAGTTATGGCGGGAAGGGAGTCTGAGTCTGATGTTACCAATCCAAGCGTCTTCTTCTGCCCTCATGGACAGTCGCAGGATGCCCGTGGATGGGACGCATTCGACGACTCTCACACGAACATACTCCCCAAGATGCACGAAGTCCATAATCTTGCCCTTGCCATGTCGCGCGACCGCGGTCGTGCGGTGGTCGCGTCAAAGGTTTCTTGGCCAGCACACACAGTTTAAGTTTCCCTGAAAATCTAGCAATACAATCATAAGTGCGAGCGCTTCTTCAAGGAAGCTTCCCCGCCGCCCTTAAAAAGGGCGGCGGGGGAGTTTCCTTGAAGTAAAAAAGGGCGGCGGGGGAAGCTTCCTTGAAGAAGCGTGAGCTATCCTGCGTCCATACTGTAGTAGCTACTTAAGCTATACTAGCTACCTCTCCCTTACTCAATTAAATCTCAAAAGCTTCGCGGCCTGTGGCACATAGCCACCGTCATCTTTGATTTGGCCCATGTGCAGAAAACCGTCCACCCACTCGCCCTGCTCGGTATAGGCGCCCACATCCACCATGACTCCTTTGTCATTGCTTCGGGAGACCCGGCCCTGGCACGGGAGACGTACCGGCCGTACTGGCACGTACGCAAAAGAAGGACGCATGATTAGATGAAGGAAAACCGGTCAACAGAATCAAATCCCGATAGACAGGTCTCGTCAGTGAGATGAGGACGACGGTGTCAAAAATGGAACCAAAACGCACCTGGAACAATGGTGCTGCAAAAAGGTCGTTCTTTTCCCCGCCTCGAGCCACATGCCAGCACGAAGTTCGCTGATGTGATATCTCCTGGCAGCCGTCGTCGATCCCCCGAGCGATCGTTCTTTTTCCAGACAAGCAACACGCATTGGCTCCCCCATTTAGCGTTGGCTGCCCCAAAAAAGAGAGATGCCACATAGTACACCGTTCAGCGTCCCAAAAATCACTCGAAGGCCGAAGGTTTGCCTTTCTCAAAAATCCAGCGGAAAACATAGACATATGATACAAATATATATATATAAATAAACGGCCAGGCAGACGGTTGCAAACGAAAGCCTCCCAGCTCACGCTCGATGTGCCGGAAGTCGATGTATTGTTGTGCCTCGGACCATCCAAACCAAACGGCCTCACCCGTCGCACGGACAACGCACCACCAAGGTGGTGCCCAGGTCGCTTCAGCAGACTCCGGCGATTTGGCCATCTCGAGAACAAGGCTCGCAGATATCAAAGGATATCAAGGGTCTGCCTCCTTTGGAGCTCCTTGTTGACTCTTTTTTGCAGCCATGGGACCCTCCACCGGCCTCCACTCTGAACCACTGAGGCTCCTCGCCATCACCTGCTCCTTCATTCGCGCTTGGGCACGTCGCACCTGTCAAACAGCTCCGGCCCGATGTCAGCTCGGCCGAAGAGAAGGCAGTGAGTATCGGTATTGGGTCCGGGGCCATCTCTCATCATCTCTCAGTGAAAGACATCCAAGACGAAGGTGAAATGGGATTTGGGATGCTCTTGGACGGCCAAACACTTTCTTGACAAACTTCTTTTGGGTGCTTGCTTTCGACAAATCTGCGACCGAATGGACCTCCGTCCAAGACAGGCTGGGATCCGGTGACACTTGCCGCTGCATGTACCTGACACCGACACGAGTTGGGTACTTGTGTCGAAACATGGCGGGGTAACTCGTGTCAAAGTGTGTACGAAAACTCCCGTAGAGAGACCGCTGCTTGTGCTTGATCCGCTGCCAAGATCCTACCATCTCCTACGAGTACCTCCTCGCGCGAGTTTTGGGTCCCGTTCCCCCCAGAACTCGGGGCACATCTCGTCGGAGAGTTGCCACAAGGGCAAGCGCCTGAGGCCGGAAAGTGAGAGGCCACCGGCTTTGAAAGTCTCTGACCGAAGCTTTCGTGGCCGAAAACCCAAATCCGCAAGCAGTTCCAAAAGCTGGATTTGTGAGCTACCTAAGAAGCAAAGTCTGAAGAAGTTAAGACAACAATGCAAAGAAAAATAACAAAAAAATAGGAGAAAAAAGGAATGAACATAGGACCGTCACACAAAAACACAAGCGGACTGGACAGTCTGCGATAGAAACCAGCACTTCCAGAGGAAGAAAGGGAACACGGCATTTGTCAGAGCCACTGCAACAGCTAACTGTTCACTGATTGAAACCCAAGTAGAGGCTGCATGTGGCATAGACAAAGGCGAGCACAACAAAGCAAAGATCACGCATTGAGAATAGACCAGGATATTTTGAGTATAAGTCCTATCCAGTAATTACTAGCCAGCCAGAGGAAAGCAACAAGGAATGCCAGGTCATCTCAGTAAGACTTCAAGTGAAGAGCGGTCATAACAAGGCCTTCATTGAATATTTTTCCCTATGATTGTTCCCCTTTGTTAATTTGTATTATTTGTCGTTTGTGTATTTGGTCGTATTGTGTTTCCTTTTGTCTTGATTTTGCATGTTTCCTATTGCCCTCGAAAAAGAATAGGAAAACACAGGAAAACAATATGAAAAATAGGAAGAAATAGGAGAAACAAAAGGTACGAAAACATTAGGAGGAAAGCAATACGAACACGTACGAACAAAAATAGGAAACAAATACAAAATATAGGACAAAAGAGGAGCGCAAATACCCTTGGGAAACCCCAGCACAAAAGGCAAACGAGGTCTTGCGGACCGCTTTTGAATATATGCTCAAGAGCAGGGACAAGAATCATTTACATGCTGTTCGTGGATTTTAATCTTACAGAGTTTGGACACAGGCGTCCTGCTCTTGATTGAAAATCTTGTCTTCGAAAGTGGATGCCAACAACATTGAAGTACACACGGCCCAGCACAAGTTCCATTCTATGTGCAAACTGTTGAAGGCTTCTAAAGGTTTGTGGTGTTTGAAGGAGGGCTCCTGTTGAGGGCGTTCTTCTCTTGCAAGGCTTCTTGCAGGCAGCAATCTAGTGTTCATGCTCATTATGAACCGTGTGCCCTATTTTTATGTAGGTTCGTTTGTATCATTTTTGTATTTTATTTGTGTAATGTGATTGCACTTTTTATGACTTCGTGATTCATTAGAGTTACAGTAGCTTTAATCAAGGTCATAAAGCTGGAACTGACATCCAGCATCAACCGCCTCAAAAAAGGGCCCCGTGCCCTTACCAAAGAACAGAGGGCGGAAATCATCCCGAATTCAAAATTGCTGGGCTGAGTGGCTTTGTGGCCACCACTTGCTTCTCTCGCACAATTGGCAGAGGTCTGCGACGCACCTGTGTCCCCCCGAGGGCGTGCGGAACCCTGAAACCCTCGACCGAGACCAGAAGCCGTTTCAAACATCGGCCGTTTAAGAGTTCGGATCTTGGACGCAACCTGTGTGAGTATGGCTCAAAAGTGTAAAGTAAATGCTCCTCATGATTGAGCTTTCAGGCCTGCAATGCAGTCCTACTCAGAAGCCGGGATGCCTTGGATGCTGACGAATGTGGAATCAATGATCGATGGTGTCCGCAACTAACAAATCCACAATGGCAGGCTGTGCTATTCACCCGCTGTGCAATGAATCCGGACCTTATATTCATAATCTTACAGCCAGACTCTCTTGATCTCTCTTGGACATCATCAGAGTTTTCGTGTAAAACCTTATGTTTCAGCCACATGTTGAGTATCCAAAATTCATCTGAGATGCTTGATAAAGCGTTGCCAAGGCTCCTCCAGTTTTCAGGAGCCCTGCCAGGTTAGGATTCTCTCGTCCGAGCCCGCGCACCTGCCGAGTGATCCTGATCAAAAGAGTCACCGCTTGAAGCGCTAATGGTCCTTCTGAAGTCCCTGAGGTCCGGTGATGGAATGCTTGGGATGGTGTCTACTCAACCCATCCAACTTGGACCTTGGGATGGCTCCAAGCAATCCAGTAGGTCTGGGTCCACGTTCCGCTTCCTGCATCCGTGGGAAACGAAGGGGCCCACTGTCATGTTGGATTCGGCCCTGCTTGTTGGGGCCCACTGTCATGTGGCTCCTGCTTCCTGACTTGAAGAACACTTGAACCTCCTCTGTCGAAATCCTCATTTCCCGAATTTTCGGGTCAGTGCTTCCGGGCACTGCTGAAACGGTGCCAATACATATTCAATCAAACACCACGGTTGGTCATGAATCGACCTGGCCCATCTGCATGGACCTTTCTTCATGTCTCTGTGACCGTCTGCGTTCTGAGACAGGGCGAGTCGCTTTGCACAAAACACCCTCTCTCGGTGGGAGAAGACAGTCCCTCGTCTCATGTTTGTTCGGGGCTACGGTCATGTCATCGAGTAGAGTAGACCTGTGTGACCTCGATCTTGGATCATCAACCACCCAAAATAGGATCTCTTCCTACCAAAACAAAGGTCGTGTCAGGGCTCGAGGTAATTTATTTTTCAGACCAAATTTTGACGTGATTCCTTCCCCCCCACTCACCATGAGTCACCCCTCCCAAGTTCAAGCTTCGTCGACGGGAAAAAACATGTTTCGCTTACAGTCCCGAAAACTAACATAGACCCTGACAATGGCCCCCTGGGTCCGAGTGTTTTCCTCTACCAACCAGTGGTTTCCAGGGTCCATGGGATTGTCTTCCAGGGTGTACGGGTTTTGGATGCGAGGGACCCTGAGAAATCCGGAATCACCATGGATTTTTGGTTGCGGCCTCATGGTGGAGACTTCTTGCGCTTGGCTTGGGCCTTGGTCAGATGTGGTTGCTGCGGCTGCTAGCTCGCACAGTGTGCTAGCTCGCGGTCGTCTTGGGATGACTGCAGTCATGAATCCCAGCGCGGCGGAGTACTCTGAGACTGGGGAAGTCCATGACTTTAAACATCTTTAAACCGCAGCGATCTCTGATACCATCTGAGAAGCGAACAGCACCTGCCATTGCGCCACAAAAGCGTCCATGATTTCTTGGCTTGAGCCGCAAGCGGCTCGCGTTGAATCAAACGGCATCAATGGGGTTGGTCATGTGTTGCATGCTGTTGGACGACGGTAGAGCCGGCCTGTTCATCAGCTTCTTTTGGCTAGGGTGAGAAAAAAGAGGTGAAACAATTGCAAAATAAATCACCGTCACGAGAAGAGGCCGCCAAGCTTGCTCAAGGCCTGTCACTTCAATTCAATCGCTTCCTTGCAAAGAGCCTCTGATGAACTCGTCTGGACCAAGTCGTTTGCGTTCACCAAGAAAACGTCAAGTCCACCAGAATTCTTCTCCCCACCTCTACAAACTCCTGCCAGACTCCACCCCCAAAACCAGTATTGTCTCCCCGAAGCCGCAAGACGTTGCCCGAACCGTTCGACCCCACGCAACCCCCCTCCAACCTAATAGAAATGGCCTCCAACCTAGTAGCGATGGCCTCGCCCTCATCCCTCGGCCTGCTTTTCCAGGTCTCCCAAGTCATCCCCGACGCTGGACCGCTGCACCGCAGGTCGCTCGGCCTGCGGAAGAAACGACCACACTGCGCCCACGCGATGGGGTCGTAAAGGGTGGCGACAACCAGAGGGCCAACGGGTGATGAAAGGAGAAACGCGGCGAGCCACGAAGCAACTGGCGATTTGAGCCACGTAGGACTGGCAGAAACGGCCCGTTTCTGACCAAAAGCGACTATGACAACTGGTACTTGGAAGGGTCTGCATTAGTAGTACTGAATCGCTGCCTCAGCTCTGAGCCTCTCTTTCAGTTTACCGAGTGGTACCGCTCCCTCTACGGAGCGAAATGTGCAGGCATGAATTTACAAAAGAGTAATACATGTGTTTTGGGGTGGAAGCGTCCTTTCCGGCAGATTCTCCTGTAAGCAACAAGCAATATGCAAAACCGTGGTTGACAGCTGCCCACCCCGAACCAAGCCTCAGTGGGCTTGGACTTCGGTGCTTCCTTGAGCTTCTTTGGCTTGGGCGACGGTGAGCGTGAGGGTGAGCTGCGCTCGCCGCGCTCACCTGGCAGTCGCAGGGGCTTATACTACGGACTTATGACATGTTTGAATCCATAGGTAACGGTAACCATGACCTTCTAAGTGACCTTTTACGGGCCTCCTTCAAGAGGCTTGAGGCAAGTAGCCACGGATTTACAATCGGGCATAGTCGGCATATAGGGGGTGAAGTGCAAAGAAGGTTGTCTTAAAATGTCTGAAGAACATTGAAGAACTGTCTTCAAGTCGGAGCCTCTTCACGCTCCCAGGCGCTGCATCCGGGATCGACACCCCGGTCGCCATGGTCGACCGGTTTTCGGGACATGGCCCCCCCGGAGACTGGCAGTGATATGCCTGGACAGTCTGTCTAGGTTGTTATTCCCATGCCATTACGGCAGGAAATACCCTGATATGCCTGGACAACTGGACAACCCCCCTGTGTGAAACCATGGGAAACCATGGGTCCCAGCAAAGGGGTGCACAGCGGGTGAGCCCGAAGTCGAATTGTAGAAGCTAAGCGCTCCTCAAAGCGTCTTTGAGACCCAACTTTTGTAGGGCAACGTAGGACACTAACTGAAAACCCATCATTACCCCTTCAACTTCCCAGATTTGCCACCTCTTAACTGGATCCACAATGATCCAAACCATTCCAAACCTCACGCTTGTAGCATCTACCAATCTGTTTCTTGCACCCAATCATTACTCTCATCTTCACCCATGGCCCATGTGGCCCATGGTCTCGGGTTTTCCACATGAAACTCGGAGTCTGCGCCTCCATCCTCGTCCGGAATCTTCGCACCACGTTGGCTGCGCTCCTTGCGCCGCTTCTTCTGGTGCTTCTCGTGGATTCGCGCGCGGCTCACTTGCGCGTCGGAGGAGTCGCGCGTGGCCTCAGCCCGGTGCCGAGTGGCCTTGAGGCCCATTGAGATACCTTGGGACCTGGACCTTCAAGGGGTGTCCTGTCCCCTAGTAGTGTAGGGGCTTCCATTGGTGACCCCTTTGAAGGTGCTGGGAGAAAGTGTTTTTCCTTTTTTCACCTTCTGAGTCCTTTACAAAGTATTTATTTACTAAGTGGTTTTGGTGGGAATCTCCCCGACTCCCGCCACCTGGGACCAGATGCTCCCTGGGAAGCCCCACCAAGTCGCGAGCCACTTGCTCCAAAAAGCTGGCTCGGTCTCCTCGTTCGCCCCCCGACGTCTCTGTTCAGAGTCGGCAGGAGACCGAAACGGCACAACGACCGAACTGAAAAATGGACGACTGTATGACTGGTCGCTAGGTTCAAGATAGGCGTGAATAGAGGAGAATCAAGTAGGTATCGGTATGGTACAGTACGGTGAGGACGGTCTTTTTGGCAAGTTCCGTGGGGCGGGTGGACTCGCTCGGACTCGGCCGTTGTTCCGCGACGAAAAGAGTTGGGGGGGGGGGAGCATCCAATCGCTCCCTCTCTCTCCCCCTCGCAACGTCCTGCCTTCTGGCCCGAACTCTTCACTTCGCAGCTCCTCCGCGAGCCTCGGGCGCCAAAAGCAACCCACGAATCGGCTAGTCCGAAGTCCGAGAGGCGGGAGGTGACAAGCCGGGGTCCCAGTTCGAAAAGAGTTTGAAAGATTTCGTTGGAACATCCAATCAGAAAAAAAACGCAAGACAAAGCAGAATCATCTCAGCCCAGATGAGCCATGGCTGAGAGAGAGAGGGGAGGTACTCCAGTTGCCTCGTCGGTATGGGGTCGATTCGGGACCCGGTTGCGGGTTCGTACAAGGGACGATGGCTGGAGGAGAATTCGGTGCAAGGAGTACCGGGAAAGAAAGACAGAAAGACAGACACAGAGAGAGGAGAGAGAGAGAGAGAGAGAGAAGGGGGGAGACAAAGAGAGACAAAAGGCCAGAGATCATCTTGGCCCAGAATCGTTGAGATGCAAGAATTGAGAACCCCTCACAGCAAGGCTGGAACAAAAAGAACAGGGGACTGGGGCAGTGCGAAATGGAGAAGCAACATCAAGAAAAAGTGCACGACCAGTCTCCAGCTCCAAAAAAATGAACAGCTTAGATGCTTTTTGAAGGCGCAGTCCCCAAGGATGTCAACAATGCATGAGCCAAAAGAAGTCCAAAGGAGCATGGGCCGCCTATTCGATCATAGGTGTCAATGACCTCTTTGACACGTTTCGTCCACGTTCGCAAGCGATGCTCTCTTCAAGCTCCCCGGCTGTGCCAATTGAGAGGTCTTCCGAGTACCATCTTTACCGAAAAAGACGTGCTTGCCAGCTGCCTGCAAAAGAAGCGCGGCAACGTCACCAGGGCCATGATGGATGCGATGCTTACTTGTTTTTTGTCCATGATACTCATACTGTGACGCTGGCATAGGCTCTTTTTTGGGATCCAATCCTATAGGTGATTATCAAAAGAGATGCACGGAGGCACCGGTGCCATTGTTTCACGTCTTCCGCACCTGAACAGCCGAGCCATCTTTGCGGAGCTTGATCTTCTTGTTGCCACTCACACTGGGAGGGGCGATTGGTGCCTCATGTGCCTCCTGGGCGACCGGCTTGAGGAAATCATCCTCCTCTTCGCCAGGATCATCATCCTCTGCCACCTTCCCAGCAGCGGCAATGCGTCGTTGCCGCCTCTCCCACTTGCCAATCTTCTTCTTGGCACCGTCTTTCTGAGTGAGCTCCCGCTCTTCTTCTTCCTCCTGGTCAAGCGGTTCTGAAGCCAAATCAAATGACAGGCAAGCCACCAACACGTGCAATCCTCCTCCCTTTTCGCTGCATCCTTATCTTTGTCCTTCAAACAAGGCAGGTCAAACAGTTGCTGTCGCCAACTGTCAGCTGGTTTTTCAATTCTGGAGACTCCGATCCTTCTTCTTGGCTTTGATCTTCTCTTTAAGCCGTTGCAAAGCAGATTGATTCTTTTTCTTCTTCATCTTATTCCGCTCCACGTCATCATCCCCAGCCTGGAAGGCAGAGAAAAAATGGCGTTTTCGACTCAAAGAGGCCATCCGGCGGAAGAAGGTGCCATCTCATTTCGACTCAGTTCGATCGACTTAGCTTTTTCAAGTGGCGGTTGCCTGACTACTACTGGAATGAGAACCACCTGGCCCGGAGGTAGATGGTTCAGTAGGTGCTGTTCTCATTTCGACTCTGTTCGATCCTTCTCATCCTGTTCGAGGTATTTGGATGTATTTGGTATACTGGTGTGGGGGACTGAAGTTGCCAGCCAAACACGGGGCCACCAGGAGCTCTTCGGGAAAGTCCCCCATAGTCTCACCAGTCTCCATATTGACTCCACCAACCCCCCTCCAGTGCCCTAAAATGCTCCCCCCTTAAATCACAAGAGCCACCCTCACTCCCACCTTTTCGCCACGTTCGAACCTTTGTTTTTGGACGAAGCGAAACGAAAAACCAGCGTTCAAGCATGCATTCACCATCATTCACCCCTCCTCCTGCGGCGGCCTCCCAGTCGGCGCCCAGATCCGGCACGTCCGCCAAGCCCAGGGACTCGGCGAAGGCTTCCTTGGACAACGCCTCGCAGCTCCGGAAACCGCGCACGTGGGGCGCACCGAGTTCGGAGGGCGCAGAGCGTCCGGGCGCGGAGGGAGTTCGGGGGTCTGGGGCTCTTCGGGCTGTTCGAGGCTTTTCGTGCGAGGTGTGGTCGAGCCATCCCATCCTTTGTCGTTCGGAGTCAACTCTCCCCTTCGCAGTGGCGCCGTTCGGCGCGGCGCGGACTCGCCGTTCGGCGCGGACTCGCCGTTCCCCCCCCCCCGGACAGCGGTGGCGTCCTGCACATCGAAGATCTCCTTGTCCTTCATGAGTCGAACCTGGGTCGTTCGGCCCATGTCCGCCCGGCCGAAAGCCGGCCGAATCCGCCCGCCCGGTGGTTCGTTTGGTCGGCTGGAACCGAAGGATGGGAGTAGTATTGGGAGGGAATGAGGGGAACCTCATTCCCTAGGAAGCACCAGTCAGAGGAGTGGGAGGTTGATCTGGCTGTGGGTCACCAGACCGGTTGGAGAGCCCACGACCGGTGGCTTTTGTCCG